CCCAAGCAAGGCTGGCCTCTGCTTACTGACGGCACTTTCCTGTCATGTGCTCCTACCCCATTCCCACCCTTACCCTGGGGGAACCTGAACAGGTTCCTGGTTCTTTTGAATCCTGACCTGGGCCTAAAACAGCACCTACTTCCCAGGTATTGTGCCGTGTACTCAATGAGCCCACATAGAGAGGAGGAGGAGGGTGATGGGGACTGAGCCAGTCTTACCCACAGGCCCAAGGCAAGATGGACATCTTTCACAAAAACTTTAAGAGCTTTCTTGCTGGCAGTATGTTCTTCCTTTTCTACCTCTACTTCTGCTTTCGTTCCACCAGCCTGGTCCCTCTCTCTTGTCACTCTTCCTTGCCTGCCTCGTTTCTTCGGCTGGACTGTGGGTACCTGGAGGTCAGTTCAGGGTCAGGTTCCAATTCATCTGTGCAGCCCAGGTGCCTCCAGCCTAATTGGGGGTGCCGGTGGCAGAATGAATTGAGGCCTAAATCAAGTGCATGGCTCGGAAAGTACAGAAAAAGTTACCTTGATGGAGCACTTGATATGCATTGTCGTAATTATCTCCAGAGAGGCAATGTTATTTGACCAAAACTACACAGGTTACAGCAGAGATGGAGCCTGGATTTTAAGCCAGGATTCTCTGAGGCCACTGCCTGAGGGTTATGAGATATTCAGTGTAGGGGGCTGGGATGGGTATGACAAGGAGGAGGCTGATGTTAGGTGGGCTTGGGCCCTTCACTCCTTTCTAGTCAGAGCAGCTCTCATTTGTCCAAATGATTCTGTTGCTGGAAATAAAATAGAAAATGTCATGAGGACTACCTGGTGCAGAAACACAGACACTGTGGTTGGTATTTTCCTTTTTGCACAAGTATTCTTTGTTTTCACTAATAAAGCCATTTAAGATTCTTACATAGGATTGCTGTTTGATTAGTTTAGCAGGTAGACACTAAAGAAACACCAGATGAACTTTTTGGTTTAAAATTAGCGACCATAAAAAGACAATACTTGCATTGCTGATGCAGTCGGCCGGTGATTTCTCTGTCAGGCCAGGGTGCTCAGGGACAAGGGCCTCCTCCACAGGCCTGGCCAGGGGCCTAAGAAGAGAGTCTCACAAAAGTGGGACTTGTTTTATTTGGGAAATATTTTCCCCACAGTTTCTTTTAGACAGGTTTGTGGTTGCTGTTTATTGTTTATGTTTAGTAAGTCTTTAATCCTTGGCTGAGAGGCTGGGGTTCAGGCAGAAAGAAACTTAAAATGTTAGGAGCTTGGTCCTTGGAGGATCAGTCAGACATGGAGAAAAAGCATGCCAAAAGTTATAAACCAGAGGAAAAAATGATTGCAGCCATCCACAGCTCTTCGGCAGTACCCTCGTTTCAAAGAGTCAGATGCCCTGAGCCCTTGGTCCCACAGCCAGAGGTCTTTCCCTGGACGTTGTCGCCGCCTGACTTTAGCCATCTCCTGGTCACTTAGAAAGGAAACCCCACAGCTTCTCCAGGTGCCATCCTTGCAAGACGTTTTCCCAGGACTTCCTCCAGCTCTTTCAGCCTAGTTGGAAGGGCCTCTGTGTTCAGAGCCCGTGGGTTTGTTCCCAGCTCTGCCAGCTCCTCATCGCTTCAGATCTGGGGCTGACAGTGTTTCCAGCAGGAGGAGAGTTCTAAATAGTTCTGAGGGGACAACCTGGTCTGTCCTTCCTCTGGGAAGTCTGGCCACCTCCTCCTCATTCATAAGCCCTGGGACTGGCCAGGGTGCAGTGCGTTGGGCAAGAAACAGCTGTTGTTTTGACAGAGGATGTGCTTGCCTTACTTTTTGCATCACCGGAGTGAGTCAGGAGGCCATTGCCAACTCTAGGCAGGTGGACCCGCAGACTATGAACTCATATATGGGGTGCATTATGTAAAATATGTTTCTATTATCATATGTGTATATTTTCACATTAGCAGTACTTTACAAGATTAAGATATACTGCAGTTTTTCCTATTAGGTAATCCATGCACATGGCAAAATAGCCAAAAGATATATATTGAAGAGCAAGTCCCTCCTCCTGGTGGCTCCTCAAAGCCAAGGACAGTTACAGTTGTCTCCTGAACCTTTCTAGAGATAGTTGAAACTTAGGTAAGCATATGTATAGAAACTCTCTTAAATAGTGTTAGCATTAGTTTTGCACATTGCTCTTTTCACTTAAATATATCTTAAAGATCACTCCATCTTGTATAGTGCGTGTAGGACTGTATTTTTTTTTTTTTCTTGTTTAACCATTGCAGAATAACCCTGAGTAGATATGCCAGTCTGCTATTGTTGGGAATTTAGATTGGTTTTCAGTTTTTTGGTTTTTTCTCCTCGCAAGTTTTTAATGCCTGTGGGGATTCTACATTCGATCTCACTTGTGACCAGTGAGTGACTCAGGGGCTAAGGGTTCTGTATTTTGGGCCATCCCCCCTAAACACATTAAATTCCCTTGTTAATGTGTCATTACATTTGACACTTGGAGTGTAGGCAGGCTGGGTAGATAATAAAACAGTATTTGGCTTATGTTTAGTAACTTTCTCCTCCCTTTGTGTTGTCCCCGCAGCCTGGGACAGCCTTGGTGTCCTTTAGAAGGGTTCAGTGGTGTTATTTTAAGGGATTCAATCAAAGATTGTAAAGATTGCGAGGCTGAAATCTGACCAACCATACTTGGGGAGGTGACAGCCGTTCGCCCCACCACCACCACCACCACCCCGCAATCTCTGAACGTTCAGTCTTTTCTCCTCGCTGTGCCAATCTGTTTTCTTGGCGGGTGGCAGCACGGTATTGTATCGGGAGACCCCCCCCCTTGGTTTCTCACGTGGACCTGCATATGTCTGCACGGGTGGGGAAGGGAGTGTGGCAGGCCCCCGGGGGTCTCCAACGGCCAACAGCAGGTCTCCTCAGGCTCGCCGGCCCTCAGCCCTGTGGTCAAGGTGGTTTTGCCTTTCATCAAGTGACCTGTCCCAAGCTCAGCCTGTCTGTCTGTCTGTCTCTCTAATGGATCTGCCTCGAAGGCTTGCGGGGAGCCTCGGGGATTAGAGGGTCTCATAGATCGTGTGTTCTTCCAAAGCGCCCACCCCCAATCCCGCTGTCTCCAAGCTCTTCCCTCTAGTGAGCCTGCAGCAGCCAGCATTGGGCCACAAAAGTCACCAAACACTGCTGATTTTGTGCCCTCTCCCTCCCCATCCCCCCAGCTCTGGAAATAGGGTCCTCGTTGAAAGCAGTCAGGGGCTCTGTTTTTCTGTAAGTTTTCTGCATCCGTGTGTGACTGGAACGAAACGTCAACTTTACTTTTTTTTTTTTTTTTTTGGTCATATTTCAATATTGGCTTCTTTCCCCCTTCTTGAAGTCTCCCTTTATAACTTCTGCTGCTGCTGCTTAAATATAGATGTCTAAGTCCTCCTCCTTACCAGATTGTTTATATTTTTGAAGAGCCTTCTGCTTATCTGCGATTGCTCTCTCTTCTCTATCTCCATCCCTGCGTTACCACATTGCTTTCGGTTGCTCTTTTTTTCTGCCTTCACTTGACTGGGATGTGTTTCAAATGTGGTCTATCAAAATGTGCAGTGTTTCCCTCTTTGATGCAGTAGCTTTGACATCTGTTCTTGAATTCTAGCCCACGTTATTCTTTTGGACTTGTTTGCCCAAGATTTGCTGTAATGCCAGAATCACTAAAGGGAAGAGTGTGGTGTGGTATTCTCTCCCCTCCAGTCCCCGCCTCCCCTTTAAACTGTCCAGTTTCCAAGTCGACGGCACACTGGATGTTTGTTCCAGTACTCTGTCAACTCGTCTGGCAGTGGCCCACCCGTAGTGGTACGGGTGAAGTGTTCACCAGCAGGGCTTACAGACTACTTCAGTATTTCCACCAAAAAGGAAAGCAGGTGGAACTTCATGAGGTGGGCGGAGGGTAGTTGGAGAAACTCTCACCTGCTTCCTGGATGGCTCTGGATGGATTTTCATTTTTATTTTACTTGCCTTTCAGCCTTTGATGGGGTCCTTGTTCTATTGTGCCTGCTCCTGGGGGGAATAGTCCAGACCATTGAGAAGCCACTTGGGACAGCCACTGTAATCCTAAGCAGAATGTGCTAGTGTGTGTCTTTAAAATGGGCCTCTCAGTGGCTATGGGAAAGTGTCCTTGAGCTCCTGCTGTCTGGGCCCATCTGCTGTAAGCTTGTTTGAAACTGATCCTTTTGGTGGCTGCTCCCAGAATTACTGAGGTCAGGGCACAGCTTCTCTGATGCTTTGAGTATCAGTTTGTTGCGTGGAGCAGAGCCCATAGCCCTTAGCCTTTGACAGGTCCTCTTACAGGGAACCCATACCTGGTGCTTCTCAGAGTCCCAATACCAGTGAAATAAACTTCATTTCTGAATGTTTATAAGATATCAGAAATCATTAGTCTTGGCATTTACCTTACAAAAGTCCCTCTTGAAAACAAGTAACAGGTTAAATGATGGCTAACCTGTAGTAAGCCCCACAATAAATATTTGTTGAATTAAAGCAATGAAGCATCATTACAAAAGATTGGGATCCACACTGTTGAAGGATAGCCAAACTGAATGCCCTGATGAGAAGTGCAAAACGAATCCAAAGGACCGAGCACAGAGACATGACAAGAAGAAACACTTGTTAAGAACAGAAGAAGCGAGTGACTCCAGGGAGGGATGCCCTTTGGGATTGGCCTGGTTTTAGCAAAAAGAAAAGAAAAGTATCTGTTTGTACTATTACAGAAACAGTAATTTGTGAGATGGTGTCAATACACACATCAAAGCCGAGAGAGTTTGGTTTTCGCAAACTAGTGCATGAGGCTGGATGGGAACCATGTGATCGCGTCTCTTTCCCTGTCCACAGCCCCCAGCCTCACTCTGTTGAGGAGTTGACAGTCCCTGGAGCACCGGGGGCTGTCCCCAGTGTTCTGGTCAAATGCAAATATGATCCCCTCTGGTACAAACTGCAATTACAATCTTGTCTTTCCCCTTTTTTTGTCTCTCTTGACAGAGGGAACTCGATGCCACCGCAACAGTATTGGCAAACCGGCAAGATGAAAGCGAGCAGTCTAGAAAGCGGCTCATTGAGCAGAGCCGAGAGTTCAAGAAGAACACTCCAGAGGTGAGGCAGCATTCCGGCCAGGTCTCTTTGCAGGGGTCTCACTATCCTGTTACATAATAAGAAGATGTGTTGTAAGCATTTAATTTCTGTCAGACAGTCTGCCTTCTTTTGATTGCCCTCAGCCCTGTACCAGCAGACTGCATGCTTCCATGAGGGCTAGAGAACGCGGGCATTGACAGGTTGTCTGAGCAAATTAAAGCATGATGAGCTAATTGCAGCGGCAGACACTGCCGTCTGGGTCTTCAAGAATACGTGGCCAGGTCAGACCCTTGAACCCCCTCCTCCCTCCCGCCTCTGGTCCCTGCCCTCCATGCCCACACTACCCTCAAGTCTATGGAGGATCACTGAGTGTGAGGCTGAAGATGATGGAGGGCAGGCAGGGTAGCTGAGGACTGCCCACATCTCAGGATGCATATGCCAGTACTTCTTGTAAATCAGACATTTAGTCTGGTAAGGCCTTTTAAATGCCTCTGTTTCCTGAAATATGCTTTAAAGGGCACTAGAAATGTGCTCTTTATGTGCTCCTTTGGGTGTGTGTGTGTGTGTGTGTGTGTGTGTGTGTGTGTGTAAGTTTGTGTTCGGAGTAGTTAGATCAGCAGTTTGGCCCCATCTCCCAGGCCTCCAGATTCTTCTTTGGGGGACACAGGGACAGGCCTGGAAGAATAGCTGCTTTCTGGGAGGGTGCCTTTAACCTTCACAATATACCTCATTTACAATGTACAGAAATCCTGTAAAATGGTGAGTGAATTGAATTTTTAAAAGTGGTCTTGTTTTAAGCGTTCCAAGGAGATTGCTATTTAAGTGAGTGCTATTGTGAATCATTTGGGGAAACAAATAATTAACCCTCTGTTTTCAGAATAAATATGTTGGGAGAAAACATAATAGCTCGGGGGAAAGAGAAAGGGCTCTAGGGGTCGACCTACCTAAAGGCTTTTAATTTGAGACCCACGATTTACCCTCTCCATCCCACCTGCCCTGTGTGGATCTGTCCTATTTTGACAGACCAAAGATGCAGATCAGAGTAATTCATGGGGGTTGCTGCCCTCTGCAGTTTCGGGGGAGCCTCTATTCTCCATGTTCCATCTTGTCCTGAGTAAAGATAGGAGCAGAGAAAGGAACTAAGGATAGATCCTTCTGTTGCCTCCTCCTCTTGGGCTGCTTCAGGGTAGGTCTTCCTAGAGATTCTTGCAGTAGGGTTTCCCAAGCTCTCATTCTTGACTTTGTTTCCCCCACCGACCTCTGCCATGACTGTCTCTCGAGCCACTCTCAACACTGTTGGCAGTAAGCAACTGTCATCTGTCCTCTCTCCTTACTGCCCTCCCTTGGGAACCATATGTCCAGCAGTGACCATAGAAAAAAGGTTATGACAAGTACAGTGAGGAAGCAGAGAACTGGATTCTTGGGTGTTCCTCTGGACCCCAGATTCCTGTTAGCTGCCAAGGGCCTGTTCCGGCGAGGTGGGGCATGTTTCACCCGGCCACCTAGTGCTGCACTCAGTTGATAAATGTTGATTGTACTGAACTGGGCCCGGTTCCTCCATTGATGTCTAAATGGGCCTTGTTTTGCAGGAACTGGGTACCAGCTCACATGGTTTGTGTTGCGTCCCACGCCAGTTACTTGAAAAAAACCTAACCTTAAACTGCATTTTATCTCCTAATCCCAATACACAGAAGAGGCTTGGGAAGGAAGCAGCCTGATTGGTAAATGCCATTTGAGGCACTTGTTTTTCAGGGCACAGTTTTAAACATTGTTTTCTGTGGAGAAAAGGACTGAGAAACTCTCCTGTAAGAGGATGGAAGTTGCCGTCCTGCTTGTTTCTGGCCTCTGCTAGTTGGTCGAGGCTGGTACCCACTCGGTCTGCTTCCACTGCAGTAGGGAGAGTCTGGCTGCAGCACGAATCTCAGCAAGTGTAGAAGGGTGAAGCTGCTTGCAGGCTCCTGCCTCCACTGCTCCCCTTGCATTCTCCTATCCCAGGTTCATCATGGAAACCTGTTTGGGTCCCTGTGGAAACCCTGAGGCAAGACTGATAGAGATGACTGGCAGATTCACTTATGCCACCAACCAGAATCTTCTCTTTGAAATTTTGAAGCCACTTAAGGCCATGGTGAGAGTGGGTAGCTGCAGCTGGGGTTCTCTGGGGTACAGAGAGGAAGGGGGCTATGTGGGAGGTGAACTGGTGGTAAATGTGGGGGCTCTGGTGAGTATGGGGCCTGGGATCTAGAGGGGATATTGGATTGTCACTTTGGGGTTTCAGGTTAGAGGATCCCGACTTCTCTTTGACATTAGTCACTTCTCCTGATTCTGCCACTGGACAGATTATTAAACAAGGGAGGAAACAGATTGCCACACTATAGAGGGAACGTGCTAGAAGATGGACCTGTAAAAATGAATGTTGCTTAGAACTTTGTTGGTTTGCTGGTAGGAAAGGTATCTTTTCATGTGGAAACAGACTACTAGGATCCTCATGTTTCACTTGGTTAGCTGAGTGAGGCCCAGGCTTTGTTCCGAGGGCCCTCTGAGGCAGACCAGGGCCAGTGGTATTCTTGCTGGTGTCGCACTAAGTGTGTTGATTCTCTGTGAAAAAGCTGGCATTCCTCTTTGTTCTGGGTAAGAAGGAAATGTCCTCCCAGTGTTTGTTGAATATCAATAAGGTCAATATGCAGGATTAGACACCAGGGTGAAGGCAGAGATGAGTAAGGTTGTCCCTCGACAGGGGATTTGTATTTTCCTGGGCTGGCCCTGCCCAAGGGCAACTGGGAAACCCCAAGTCCAGAGGGACAGGTGGGCTCTAACAGGAGGCTTCGGGAAAGGCAGACGGAGCCTGACAGGCTGGAATCCTCCCCAGGACAAGCCACAGGCGCCGGGGTGGCCAGAGCCTTGAATATCTTTTGTTTAGAATTCTTGTTTTCTTTAAGTTTCAGTTTTATGTCATTAGATTAATATCTTTACAATCAGTTGATATTATTGCTTATGTCTTTTACCCTCAGAATTCTAGTTAATTTGAAGGAGGTTGCAAAGACTCTGCAAATAAAGTTTTATGCCTTTCTTTGATTCCAAAAATGAGTTCTTTTCAAAGAAAAACATATATAATTTTGTAACTAAACATTCATTTCCTACTGAATTAATAATTGGGAGTTGAACATAAAAGACTGTGGGGTATTTCCACGTTGTGTAGCTTTCCATATTATTTTTGCAGGTGACTTACTGGCTGTTGTCATTGGGCAAATTACTTAACCTCCCAAAGTCTCAGTTTCATCATCTATAAAAAGTGTAATGACAGGGCCCAGCTCACAGGATTGATAGGTGTGTGAAGGCTCTGCATAGACCTGGCACCTGGCATCCAATCTGTGTCTGTTACTAGTATTAACTTAGAACGAGTACTTTGGAATGCATGAGATGCAGCTGATTTCTGCTCCTTTAGGAACTTGCAGGTAATTTCAGCCCAAAGTGTTCCAAAAGCTGGTTTTTTATAACAGTTTATCATTTTACAAGATACCTTTTGAACATCTTCCATGTGCCAGACGGCTTGGCCCTGGGGGTAAAATCCTGTCCCCTTTCTTACAAACCTTATCTTCCTACCTTGCAGGAGAACATCCTGACACCGCGTATTCAGTGCGAGGATAGTATAACTGGAACCTCCTGTATATAGACCTTCACCCAGAAACACTCACATATCCATGGTGGGAAGGATCTAAACCACAAGCACCTCAGTAACTTACTGTAGGTAGACAGGGCTTCCTTTTAAGCCTTGCTTCTCAACCTTTGCAATCCCCTGAGAAATGCATGTATTTCCATAAAGTTTCTCTTGGACTCTGAAACTCATCTGGTCCACTGTCTTACAGACAGCTCTGGGCACACATGGGCAGTCTCGGAATGCCACTCTGGGAATACCTTGTGTGACTCCTCCTTCACTCTCCTAGTTGTGCCCAGGATAGGAGGGATGAAAGGAGGGCAGGGGCTGTGTGAGGGATCACTGCCAAGGCCCTGACCTCTGGGCAGAGGCCACTGTGCTCCAGCCTCCAAGCTGGGCACTAAGGTGGTGGAACCGGGCCACCTCCGGTTGGATTGGGGCCCCACAGGCTGGCAGCAGGCACAGACACCTCTGCGTTGGATGAAGCTTTGCACCTGCCTGAGGCTGGTGAAGGGCAAGGCCAGCCAGGTAGCAGTGTGTGCAGGGGAGGGGGAAGCAGTAGCTGTCTCAAGGCCTAGTGGTGTTAGAACTGTGTGCAGTGTAGGCCAACCCTATTGCCCTCTGCTTTTCTGTTGCTTTGATCAGAGATCTGAGGCACAGGCGAGCCAGGATTTGATGCCCCAAATGGCATCTGTATTGATAAAGTTGACTGCAGATTGGATCAGTGGCGATATAGAAGCATGTATGTGCCACCACCCAGAAACCCCCAGGGCACTGGGCCAATTCCTCACTTCTGGAAACTGAGTTATTTTCTGTTAGGTACCATGAAAGGGACAGCACTAGAGTTTCATGATTCTGCCTAGGAATTGCTTTTTTCTTGCTTTTCCACTTGGTCAATTTTTATGCCCCCCCCCCCCCCCCCCACTAAAGTTTGACTTGAGGTTGCCACAGCTACTGCTCAGCCAAGCTGAGACTTGAACCCAGGCAGTATGGGCCCAGAGTCATTTTTCTTAACTGTGGAGCTGTGCTGCCCGCTGACAGGCCCAGAAGCTGGAGCAAACACAACTCTGTGCAGTGCAGGCCCTAAGGTGAGGACACAGGATGTTTGCAGGGGAAGAGTTCAGCTCACCGGCCTCTGCTCTTAGAATGAGATGCTTGGTTGTCAGAAGAGAAGTCTTCAGTGTTGGACTTTTCTTCCAGAAAGAGCACAGGGATGCTTTTTGTTTTATTACAATTCTTTTCAGTAAGGGCAGGACCATCCTTTATGAGGGTGAGAGGAGGAGACCCACAGACCCGAGATGCAGTGATTTTTATTATAATCCATGCTCAGGGTTTGTTTTTGTGCTGTCATTGTGTCCAGCTCCTACCC